CAGTATACTTGAGTGATGTCTCCTATCTATCAAAATATGGTCTATTTGATTGTTTATCTTCCCATCAGGAGATGTCCAAGTAAATTTATGGATGTTACGATGTGGGAACATTGTACTTTTGACAGTAAGATTTGTGATGTGGCAAAGTGTACAACCCTAACTCCATTATCATTACTAATTTCATGCAAACTCTCATTTCCAGTTGTTGGTTTGAAAATGTCTTCCCCCCCCCCCTACTTTGGCATTGAACTCTCCCAACATTTTCATAGAGTACTTCGGGAATTTATCAAATACATGTTCTAGTTCTTCATAGAATCTATCCTTTATGTCATCAATTTTATCTTCTGTTGGGGCGTGAACATTCATAACAATGATATCACACCAGCGACCTTTTAGTATTTTATTTATGATATCCTATCACTAACGAACTCTACCCTCTTATCTGCTGATACGATACTCTTGTGTACGAAGAAACCTCTGAGTAATTCATGATTTTCATTCCCCTTTCCATAGAAAAATGTATAGTCTCCTGCTGGTGCCATGCCACCTCCATCCCATCTGACCTCCTGTACTCCCGCTAAATCTAACTTATATTTTAAGATTTCTTCTGCCACTGCCCTGAGCAAACCTGCCCTATACATACATCTAACATTCCAAGTGCCAAATCTCATATCCATTTTCATTAGCTTAGGTCGTTTATCCAAGGAATCAGTCCAGGTCCGAGGCTTTGTGTTCATTTTCGTAACATAATCATTTTTTTACGGTGAGGAGTTCTTAGCCCCATGCCCAACCCACAAGCTGGAGGGCAACCCCTTGTCGGCTGTCCGCAACTGCTTATTCAATATATTCGCAGCTTCCCTCCAAAACTGAAGGGCGTCTCCTCCATCCGCAACCTAAGGACGCGCCATGCCGTTGTGACAGGGACCCACATAACATGGGGCCGCCCTTTACCCCCAGGAATATTCCTGGTACTCGTTTCTGTTAGATGGTGTTTCGACCCCAGGGCCCCAGTGCGGCTTGAAAAAAAAATGATTGATTGAAAAAATCCACCTCATCGGGAATCGATCCCGCGACGTACCGGCTTCTATTATAGTGCCTCAACCAACTATGCTACCGCGTGCACCCCATAAATAATGGATATTAATTGAAATCTGAATTTCGCAAATGAATTCCTGGTCCTTCTTCGTGGACGAACGCAAGTGTTGGCTGTGGCTTCTCATTTGTTTCGACTTAATTATCTGTCTGTTTTCAGTCAGAAACAAATTGCAGTAAATGACAGAGGCAAACGAGGTTGCTATAAAATTTGCAGTGGCCTTGAGACGCCTATTAATTCAGAAGTATTCACTTTCCACCGCAGTCTACTGTTGACATTGAAGTGTTAGTCAACTAGTTCGTTATGAATAAGAATTCTCATTAGGACTATAGAAGAGAGACACGTAGGCCTGCTCTTGTAAATGCATATTTAACCCTCGAAAGTCTGAAACGGCTCTAAAAATAGAGTCACATATCGTTTCCCCGCCAACCGGATCGTTCGAGATAAGAGTTGAATGCCTACTTCTGAAAGCTATCCAGTCGATTACAATGTTACATAGTTACCGCTACCAATTATCCATTTTGAAAGTTTGTCACTAATTTCACGGACTCCCAGCTCCTTGATTACTTAACCTACACGCGTTAGAATAAAGCCTGTTCTGACAGAGGACTTGCGTGTAGTGCAAAAGGAACAATTTTCAATAACACGCTATATATATGCCATACGTACACTTGACGAAAAGGTCAAGCATATTCATAAAATACAATCCCATCTTCTCGTTAGAGAAGTGTCACATAAGGATTATGACTGCAAGGATTCATTTGAAAAAAATAATGTCCCTGGTCGTGAGTATGAAAGGGTTTGGCGCCATGACGAACTGATTGGCGGTAAGCCGCCAGTCGTAAAGTGACTCTGATTCTGACTAGAAGTAAAAGGTAAAGCTTTTCCAATTGGGATAGCATAGTCAGTATAGCGACTGGCTACGGTCTGAGCGACCGAGGAGTCGGAATTCGAGTCCCGGTAGGGTCAATAATTTTCTCTTCTCCACGTCGCTCGGACCGGCATTGGGGTCCGCCCAACACTGTATCCAGTGGGTACCGGGGGCTCTTTACCCTGGGGTAAAGCGACCGATGCGTGAAGCTTATCACTCACCTCCAGCTAGTGCCGACGTCAAGAAAATGTGGATCTATACATCCACTCCCCCATACGCCTTCATGGCGTAGTGCTTAATTAGTTAAGCACAGGGACGACTTAATTTAATCCCCGTAACAGGCCGTGGAGTCCCATAGGTTTGTGAGACGTCGAGGCCTCCACATTTTCTAGACAATCGACTCGGCGATGGCGGTGAGGGTAGCTTTACGCGCCGGCCGCCCCATACCCCCAGAAAGTTTGCTGGTATTCATTTCTGTTAGAGGCTGAGTCAAGCCCAAGGCCATAGTGCGTCTGAAAGGATTAGGTCAATTGAAAAATCTAATGACCTCATAGAGAATCGTATCTACGACCTTCAAGCTTGTAGCATAGTGCCCCCCCCCCACCCGGTTAGAGGTAATCCACCCAAATTTTTGCTACAAGTTTTGTCGAGGGTCACGTTGGATGTAACAGATCATGCGAGACATGCAACTGTCCACTTGTGGCCTTATGTAAACCGGAGTTTGGTTTGTGACTGGTTACAACTTGGTGGAAGTTGAATTGCAGGAGATTGATGATTAGAAAGCAAAGGCTATGGAAGGAAGAGGTCGTGACCTGACTTGAAGTACTGTCCTTGCAGCTTCTTGGAAGAGTGAGGAAAGCCATGAGAAGCCTCGGTCAGGATAGTCGGTGACTCGAAAGGGTTCCGAACCAGTTTTCTCCCGCCTGAGCCAACTTGCTCGGGATGTGAATATCGTAAATTATCTCAAGTTTCCGAGGAATAGGGAGCATGAGACGCCGGCCAGCTAACACAACAAACATGCGGCGCCCTCATTTTCCGGCGTCTGGTTTATGACCTTCAAAACGACTCTGTGGTGTGAGCAGACGTTGTTGTGTGTCGTTAAGGAGAATTTAGTGGCGCAAATGAGCATATCTGGACCAAATGGTAATGCGTGTTTCTTGCTACTCAGACACTAAACACTTAAGCGACCTCCTCAGTCACTTTGACAAAGAAAATAAATACGCCTTAGGCCTCTTCAACGCTGCTGTCCGCGGAGTATCTTAGCGAACTGTTGAACAGACGCGTGGCTGTCTGAAACAGCCTTTAAAGCGACGTGACTGCTACATGTATCATCTTCTTTAACATAAACTTTAAATTCTGCCCACATAGTGTATTTGTGTTCTCTGTATGGTTCTCGCAGTGAACCCTGAACAGCATTAACCGGTTGGTCCTCGTAGCGGAAACAATGTGTTTCCTGTGAGGTACGAACTGAATTCTTATTATTTCGAAGACATTCCCATCTCAGTTACCCTCGCCGTCACTGAAGAGAATTTCATATCGACCTTCTACTTGTAACTGAATTCAAACCCGGAACCTTCAAGGTGTTAATAACCACTGTGTAATAATTGCAAAATGAAATATTTTAAGCCCGAAATTAATATGAACGAGAGAGAAATCGAGGGGTCATAAGCCGAGGGCATGGTAGTCATTTCAAATATACAAATTCTCCAGGACATGAGCAGTACTCACTAGTCTGGGTGTTCGTAAACGGATTTGTTCGCTCACGTTAGATGATATTGTTCTTGTAGAAAAGGGCAGCGAGAGCGAAAGAGACAGAGACAAAGACAAAATGGAAGGTGATACTAATAAGAAACAATACATTTCAGAGGGGGGTGGAAAGGTAAATTTTCATTTTTTAGGGATCCCAAGCAATATCTGTTTTCCTTCCAGTAAATATAATGCTGTATATAGACCCGTTGCTAGGCAACGACTGGGGAACAGACAACGAGACAGTGACCGTTGCTAGGTAGCGGCCTGCATGCAACAATAGAAGTACTGTTGGTAGCGATATTTTCTATTTGGTCCACCACTGTATCACGTGACGGGCCGATATGCAAGAATTTTTAATAACATGCTATATGTGCGATACTGACGCTCGACGAAAGGTCAAGCATATTCATAAGAGACAACCCCATCTTCTCGTGAGAGAGGATGTTACGTAAAGGCTATGACGGCAAGGATTCAGTTGGAAAAAAAATCTCTGGTCGTGAGTCTCAAGGGGCTTGGCGAGAAGATGAACTGACTTGCGGTAAACCGCCAGTCGTAAAGTGACTTTGACAGTTTGGTTAGTGCGGGCAGTGCAGTGCAGTGTAGTGCAGGGAAGTGAAGAACTGATTGGTGAGTTAGTGAGTTAGAGAGCTGCAGTTCAGTCCTGGTGAGCCGTTGATGTCAGAAGCTGGCAGCTGAGTCAGGAGAGTAGTTCAAAAACCCGAAGGAAGAGGAACGTCCGCCGTTGGAAGCCGTTACCAGGCAACGACTCTCGAAGACACAGCAGAATGAGAAGACCTAGTAGGTGCTGTAGTGAACTGTTTAGTGTGTGAATTAATGATAGCGCTATTTTTGTAGTTATTATCTACAACTGTTCAATAAATAAAATTACCAATCCAAACCCTGTCTATGGTCACACATACACGGATAATACGTTGGATGTGAGGAAGGTAAAGCGTTGGGAAGTGGAATTTGATATAAGCAAGGCAAATATTTTGGGTAGGCGCTGTACAGCTTGCGATTGGAAATCTGATATTAACGTTCTGAAAGCTACATTGTCAAAAAATGATTTAATATGGGAAGAGCTACATTAGCGAGGAATTTTGACGTTAACTTGGAATTTTGCTACCAACTCAGCATTTTCTGTAGGACGTAGGGAAAAGAAGGAAAACCTTGATCGAGTTAACAGGTCGCAGGACCTTCCGGATGGAAATGGATTTACATCCAGCTGTCAGTCATTTAAAAATAATTAATCATTCCGTTTATGACTTTGTTATGTTTTATTTACAGCATGCTTTCCTCTGACTTCTGTGGACTTTCCTGTTGTGTGTTGCTGTGGCGTATTTTGGTGCTGGGATTCCTTGCTTTGGTGAGTCTGAGCCATTACTCTCTGCTTATACTGCCCGGATGTGATTTCATTTCTGCTGCCTTCTTGACAAGTCGGTCCAAGGAATCCTGGTTAAGCTACATGGTGACAGGTTAGAGTCAAATTGGTGGCCGCACAGTTTGACTCCGCCCTCCTACTGCGTAATGCACCAATAGGAAGAGGCAACGAATTGACGAACTGGCAAAAACATCAGCGACATACGGTCATCCAGGGCACCGATCGTGAGATCGAGATCCCTGAAACGTCGGATTTCAGTTCAAAATTGACACCGCTGATCATCAAATTAAAAAAAAATCCAATGACCCCATCGACAATCAAAGCCGCGACCTTAACATAACGCCTTAATTAACTAAGCTATTTTAATTTCGTGGGGGGGGGATGAAACTGAGCCCACTTGCTGCGTCGGCCACTATTTGTCCCATTGTACCAGCCCCGGATGACAGACGATGAGTGTGGAGCAGTCTGTGGAATGAGAATTGGCAGGGGAAACCGAAGTACTCGAAGATAACCTGCCCCAGTGCCACTTTTTCCACCACAAATCCCACATTACCTAACCTGGGATCGAACCCGGGCCGCTGCAGTGGGACGCCGGCGACTAACTACCTGAGCTATGGCACGGCCATATTTTAATATTTAGTAAGGTGGTACATATAGTGACCACTGTGCTTTTAAGGTTTAAGGAGAAAACGTCTGGGAATACGCTTATTGGTTTCGTGGGTCAGTCTGAACATCTCTGCAGTAGATCTTATGGAAGATGGCAGTGGCGGCTGGTGATATATGCGATGGGTATTGGAGAATATTTTGTTAGTCATCCGTGCCGAGTCTGTGGGTTTCGTGACCGTCCGTGAGATTGCCTCAGCCGTTCACAATGTTCTAATTACCAAAGCAAAAACAATTAAGATTTGCCCGAGAGGGAATATTCATTTAAACCGAGACTGTCCATTGTGTATTCAGTTAATTAAACGCCATTTCCTGGAAGCCTAGCTTGACTAATGGCGAACCTAGTTTCTCCAGAGCCGCCTCTCAATAATTTCTGCTAATATTATTTTTTACCCTAAGATATTACCCCAATTTATATCAAAATTAAAAAGAAAATCTGGGAAAGCTAATTCGGTATAGCACGTATGCTGCGGACTGAAACAAGGAACTGGGATTCGATTCCGGGCAAAGAAAATGGACTTTTCCCTTATTCATTGCGTTCTTGCTGTCTCCAAGCCCACCCAGCCTCCTATCCGATGGATACCGGGGCTCGTTTTCCAGGGATTGGGACTAAGAATGGTGGAGCTATACCTCCAATCATCCCTACATCCTCATGTCGTGAAGCGGAATTAAGCACAGGAAGAACAATGTGCCGCTAACTAGCGGTGAGTCCCAAAATCAGAGGATCGGAATCACGTATTTGTAAGAGAAGCGCTTCTCTTCCAGGCACGTCGAGCGACGAGGCAAAGGACCTGTCTTTAATTTAGGAAGCATCCGGTTCGAATCTAGGAAGGGACACCAGCTATACTCACTGAGATTATCGTGATTTTCCTACGTCTCCTATTTAAATTTCGGGATAACATATCAACTTCGAACTCGACAGCTTGCTTCAACACCCTTGACACTTCATTAGTCACAGCTTGTCCTTAAATTCGACTTTATACAATGTGATCTATTGACGTCATAGGTGAATAAATAAATAAACATGAATAAGCTCTTGATTTTCTTACATAGTTTATTAATCTGTTTCGAATGATTTTCAGAATAAACAATGATTATAATCATTGTTTATTATATTATTATTATTATTATTATTATTATTATATTATTATATTATATTATTATATATAATTATTTCCCCGAATAATTAACGGAATTTTGTTTCTTAATGGTGATTCAGTGTTTTGTGTAAGGTACGAGCTGAATTTTTAAGCATTATTCAAAGAAATTAACACCTGAAATGGTAAAGAACTATGTTTATCCTTGTTCCTGTTACCTGATTCTTGCTGGTTGCTTCCATGGTTTTGTCTTTGACCCTGAAGATGGAGACAACAGGTTCCACTCTAGCGTCAGTAAACTTATACCTAACTACACCACGTCACATACCAGAAAATAGCGATCTTATCGGTCACTGGCGTGAGAACCTCAAGGCTTGAACCCAGCATATCCTGAATAAGTAGCGGGACGGCGACCCGCCCAGCAGTGACTCTCGGTGTATATAAAGTGAATCTTATGATATGGCATGTCGCGGACCAGGGCAGTCGTTTGCCTGTACCCACACTGTCCGAACATTTGTTTTTAAAACACAAACAGAAACGAACCAATGTATGCGTATTTCAACAGCTCTGCGCTTGCATACAAATCAACCACGCAGTCCAATTCAGGAGAGTGGTTGCCTCTACTTCAGAAGACAAGAACTAGAAATATTTGTTGTGCAGACAAGCTTTGCGCGGAGTGTTGCCTCATACAACTTCCTCCACCTTGTTCTGCTTTCACTGTGCTGCATCAAACGGCTGATTTTTTGTGCAGTGATAACGGCGGAAGCACGCGAAAATCTGATTGACTTCACATTCTGAACACCTCGACCTGCGTCCCTGGAATAGCAGTCGCACATTTCTGGCTATACACAGCACCGTTACAGACTCCATCTAATGCGGGATTGAAGAGGCGTCATACAGCATTACCCCATAATTTTGAGTTTTATTAGATTCTTCTTTTAACAGACTGCCAGTATTCATAAGCTGGTGGGGAATTCATACTCTTTTTCTCTAAGTTTACCTATGCCACCTAAGACATTCCCTGGTTCATAAATTATATTGACTTTACTTACAGATTTCTGTGTTTTTAGCCTGCTTTCTTAGAGGTTGCGCGATCTCCTTCCTGTCTGTGTGTCTGCGTATCCCTCCCCAAATCAACTCTTGTTATTTCCTTAAAGAGCGTCAATAGTTTTTTTTAATTGAGCTGCACTGTATTTCCTGAGCTAGGCAATGAATTTTGAAAATATTACTAGCAAGGAGCACGCAGTAGCGTAGTTGGTTGAGGCATTACGCTACAAGCCGGAAAGTTGCGGTTTCGAGTCCCGTTGAGGTTATTGGATTCCTTTTCAATTGACCTAGTACATTTCGGCCGCAATATGGCCCTTGGGTTGACTCAGCCTCTAACAGAAATGAGTGCCAGGAATCTTCCTGGGGAGTAAAGCGCGGCCGGTGCGTAGTGCTGACAACCTTACCGCCATCTGTGAGCCGATTGTCTAGAAAATGTGGGAGCCTCGACGTCTCGCAACCCTATGGGCCTCCACGGTGTTACAGGGATAGTTTTATCTTTTTTTCTACTGGCAACGGGCATGCCTTCGGCCACGGGCAAGCCGTCAAGTGGCTCCTCCATCGGCGTTAGGAGTGTTATAGTTGTGATCTGTACGTGGTCATTACATCTATTCACAGACCCAAACCCCCGTCTATAGTCACTAATACAATTGACAGTAGTATCAAGAGATTATCTGATTTAGATTTCGAATTGGGTGTTATTACAAATTACTTTACTGCAAATTGTGGCCTGTTTTCTATCCTTAACTTAGAATATTTATGGGTGTGGTGTCCGTGTGGGTGTTTCCTTTTTTTAAACAGTTTACATATTTTAGCGAACCCTGTTATGATTATTATCTCTGAGGTAAAACTATATTTGATTAAACACGCGTCATTAGGATGTGTGGGTGAATAGAGATATACCTCAACACATTCTTAACCTTGGTACTAGATGGAGGTGCTTCGGCCGCTTTATCCCCGCGGATAGTTACAGATACTTGTTGGATAGACAGTTGGATGCCCCCCAGAGCTGCTCTGAACGCTGAGGAGCCTTGCTCCTTCACAGTAATCCAGTCATTATATCTGTCGTCCAACCTAGTTGTTATACAGACTGAAATATAATGGCTGAAATCTTCTGTGCTGTAGAAACAGTCGTTTTAAACACTGTTTACATGAATTCCTAAATTCCAAGTTGCTACTGCGGACTCCTCCTGCAGCCCTCCCTAGATATCCCCTCTAAATTATGAAATTCGCATTTATCAGGATGTCAGCACTCCGAGGCCCTCGTCTCAAGAGAGCGCTTAGCGCTACTCTGAAGTCTTCACTTTCATACTGCCCTTATCAGGACGAGTGTCAAGAGGCCTTAAAATATACGCTCTTTCTACCCTGATATAAAGCGCCTGTCAATTCTCCCGTGACCTTACCTTATCATCTGCTCTTCTACTATTATTACTTATCCCATCTGTCCAAGCTTCGTAGGGTTAATAGATGCCATTCGATTTTCACTACCGTTTTAATCAGACGCTGCAGCTCAAGTGAAATGTATTGATGAGGAACATAAAGGAATTTCATTCCTCCAGCCAGTGGCCTCTTCTTCAGAGAGACAGAGGAAGACAGAGGAGACTGTTCAGTCTTCACATTATTCGTCTGTCTGCCCACGTGACTGGGTAATGTCGCGGATTTATGCATTGAAATCCTTCTGGTATATGAGGCATGTGTTGGGGGAGGGGGTAAATAAATAGTGAACGTTTGTTCCGAACAATGGTTTGGAGAGGGGGTGAGAAAAGATAGGCGTACAATACACAAGGGTGGTAATGATTGTAAAAGGGATGGGGTGGCATTTACAGTGAGCTCATTACAGCAGATTTACCCCAGATTAATCCTTTCAGTCATTCATTAGACTCACTGAAAATCTGCATGTACGCTCATGCATAAAATGTAGAGGGGGGGTTAATTCGTAGAAGAAACTTGTGTAACACCCGTTTAGAATTCAGCAGGAAGCTCCGTCATTTGTTATGTAAGTTTCCGTATATTAACTTCCCCTTCATTCTTCGGAATTCATTTCCAGTCCTTCGACTTATCGACTGATACGTCGAGGCCGACGATTACCCCCCCCCATCTCCCACGAATAACATGCATAAATAGTCAGTCGAAAACTGTCTCCTTTATAGGGCTATAGTATACTACACCAGATATTCACAT